ATATATATATATATATGCTTATATAACCGTTATGTGTTGAAAATGATCTGAAGTCAATATGTTCTTTAGGATATGCCATTCACAGCAATTCACACAAGAAAATTAACCTGTTCAATGAAAATTATCATACGACAAAAACCTTCCTATGAAGAAAAGGAAAAAAAGAAAATATACATCCGTAGCAGAAAATTCTTATGTATTTACATATCTCACGCCTAACATTTGTACATACATACATAATATTTTGGTGCTTTAAACCTATGCATAAGAAGGTGTATGTGACCTTTAAAAAGTGGTGGTAATAGTGTTATATTTTGATGTGATGTTAAAAATTTGAGAGCTATGTATGTAAATAGGAAAATTTAGATGAGTGATATGCATAAATATAAGAATTGTGTGCTACATAAGTAAAAAAAAAAAACTTTGAATCTGTCTTTTCCTTTCCCATGAAAGACATTATTTATTATTGTTTAGCTGGAATGTGATTTAATGCTTTCCATTAAGTGGATAATGGCCAGCGAGAGTCGGGAGACGCTTTCTCTAAGACAGCCAAACTAGGCGAAAATGGACACATAACAAAGTGGTATTTGATCCATAGGTTGATTGAAAGGTCAAGGACAAAAACACTCCGTTGTAAAATCAATATCCCACTTGGATAAAGGGATCGCTAAAAGGAAGATGAACTGGGTCATTGCACGTCTTTAAGATTGGTGTTTAAGATGTGGTTTGGACAACAATTCACATTATATATTTAAAATTGATGTCGATACCCCTTAGGCTTAATCCAAGGGTCACAATAGATCCAGAAAGTGATCTGATTGTAAAGATTCCAATGACTATTGTCATATTCAGCCACTGCATTGTTGGGCTTGTCATGTGATATTGGAGTTCAAATGGATGTATTCAAATCATCCATTCAAAGATAAAAATTAATCCAAGTAAAAATTAATCCAAGATTTATAGATTTATATACTAATTTTAAAATAATCATACATGTAAAACTAAATAAAACTAAAGAGATAAACCAATTTAACCCAAATCAAGCCAACCCAATTTATAAACCTCTACCTCAACTGAAAAATACAATATGGTTTCACTTTCAATTAGTTCAATTTTGTTCCTAATTTTCATGTTGGGCTTGGTTCGGTTCCAAACCATGGTTAATTAAAAATTTACCCATACTTGTCACTTTTTTAGATAGTAAGTCACCAAATTTCCACCACCAATGAAACAACCAGAAGTAGTAAATTTCACCAAGCAGACCCTTACACCTCTAAGTAATAATTTTGGCATGTCATGAATTCTTTCTCTACTTGTTAACAAGCAAAAAGACATAGCATCGATAGTAGAACTAAATGATACTTACTCTAGGATCTTGTGGATTTCTTTTGATTGCTTCTGTGTAATGCTTCACTGCTTCTGGATACTTCTGCTCTTTGAAAAACTCATTACCTGCAATAAGCAGTTACTTGAAAAAGCCAATAATGATCATTCCTAACAAGAAGAAAATGAATGAATAAACCTCACCATATGCTATCCACAATTCAAATCTTTAATTGAGAAAAATGCCTCCAATATAAAACTCAAGAAAAATCGCAAAACATCAGAAATAAAAAATCTACACAGCTTACTATCGACTCCAATAATGCTAACCAAACGTAAAATAGGTTATTCAACAAAGAAAATTTATTAATTTTTTTAAAAAGGGTGTATTAATGATGCGCAAGTCCAAAACTACACATAAATTAACATATTCCTCAATTGTTATGCCCATTTAGTGTTTTTTCATTACAATTCATCTTTATGTTACATTTTGAGAAACCTTTCAGGCTTGTTTGTTATCAATTTTGTTTATTGTATTTATTTTTTCTGTTTTTCAAAACATGTTTATTTAGTGTGTTATTTACAGGCGTTTATATTTTTTTTAATTCAAATTAACATGTTATTAAAATCATGCAAAATAATTTTAAGGTGTTTTGAGTGTTTTAAAAAATAATTATATCTTAATCAAATATGCCAAATATATTTTATTGAAATCAATAAAAACCGAACAAAATTAAAAAAATAAAAAAAAATAAAAAACAAAAATAATCCCAAAAGATCACTTCATTACCCATTTTTTTAAGATTGTAATTTTTATTTATTGTTCTTAAAGTGGATTGAAACTACATGTTATTTGATTCTTCTGGGGTATAAAGGCAATCCGAAGTAGCCTTGAACTATTATACGGTTCAACCAATTGCAAGTTTCTCCTTTTTTAATGAAATTTATAACATGGATAAATCATATTGGAAGATAAACTCAAACATCAATTGTTATATACTAGAGTTAATAAACATGGAACTAAGTGCGCACCTCTTAAAGAAGTCATAGCATCAATGCTACATATCATTACAAAACATCAAAAGCATCTCCTTAAATAAATCCCAATCAATTAGAATCCTTCTACCAGCAATAAACAAGATAAATAAGGGTTGCAATGGATGCTTGACCCCTCGGGTTATTGATAATCAATAATATTTTAGCAAAATTTTATCAAAACGAAAATCTGCCTTAAAATTTTGTGATTCTAACACAAATTCTTAGTCCAACATAAACATCTAGATAGTAGATACATAATATAAAGATACATAAATGCATGTAATCATATAGATAATTTATGCATTACATCTGACCTAGAGCTAGCTCAAAATAAATTAAGATAAAATAAATCAATCTGACTATCACAAACCCTATTGTTTTCTTCTCTTTCAAATCCTAGTTCCTTCATGACTCCCTCCATTAAGATTTATGGTAACAACTTTAGTGTTATGTGGAACTCATACAAACAAACACCAGGTGTGAATTTCCTTTATTCTAATCTACTCTATTTTAGATCGAAAAACAAATTTCCTCCCCCCTATAACGAACTTCTTGTTCTTTTTTTACTTAATCTGCCTCTTTTGAAACTCTTTTGTAAACTTTTAAGACATGCGAGATCCAGTTATGTTAAACATTGGTTAGTGCCCTTCTCTCCTGTTGTCATGTTTTTTAAGCCTCAATTTGAAACTTTTCTCCTAGAACATTCTCGCCAATTGTTTTCATACTCTTCTCCTCCAATATTATTGAAAACTTCAGAAAGAAATAGAACAATAATGACCCTCTTTACACATGTAAAGATGCACAATATTTTCCTTATTATAGATGATTGTTCTTAGATTTATCAATAGCAACTTCGAAAAAAAAAAATTCTTGATAACTCTTTTTTTTTTTTAACTGTTCTTCAATTAATCGGTCTTATCAACAAACTCTTGGGAGAAATACGTGGCAATAATGTTTGTTGAGTATGTTGAGCTGTTATTTTTATATGTTTATTGGTCATTTGAAATCTCAACATGTTGATTCCAAATTAAGATGCACATTATTTAGTGTCAGCTTATGACTATCATTTGCCTACTGCTTTTAGTAATTAGTTATTTTTTATTGTGTTTGCTAGTGCAAAGTTGAATTATTTACACGTTTTATTTATTAATTGTTAGACTAGTACAATTTTTCTATTTATATGATTATTTTTTCTGAGATTGCAGCATGAAACCATTTCCCATTCCTTATCTGCTCGACTATAAGAATTCTTTTTAAAAGGTAAACATCATTTTTTTAGATATACTCTATTTCTTAATATTGTTTAATTAATTTTTCATAAAATATTTTGATAGTTTGAATACCATATAGATTTATTACTGAATATTTTAATGAAATTTAATAATCGCTTGTTGCAAGGTTTATGGTGACTATGAGAAATATATTGCACCTTACAGTGAGCCCTAAAGCTGAGTACATTTTGTTTTCACTTCATACTTCTGTTTTGGGGCAGCTGCAGCTTATTAAAAAGAAGTTGAAAAACTGTTGAAAAATAATCAGATGCTCAAAAAGGTGCGGTGTCTATTACAATTTTTTTTCTTTTTGAAAAGTAAAACCGCAACTAGAAAACTGCCACCGCACCTAGCCAGGACCGGTGCAAAAATGCAGATTTCAGTGACAGCTTTTTAAAAAAGATACCAAAGAACAACTTATTCAAACAGACAAAACTGTGGTGCGGTGCATTAAGGCACCGCCACTGCACTGGCACCCCAGGCGGACCGTTAAGTAGAGAAAAAACATTCATGCTCCAATCCAGCTTCAAACTCCAATACTAAAAGCAATTAAGGACTTACTCCAATAATTAAAAATAAGACTCAAAATGCAAAAACTGATACCACGCTTTTGAAACATCACTTATCAACTTACTCCAATAATCAGTTAAGGATTTGCATCATTATCATTGCTAGCCTGAACTCAAAAACTTGGGTTTATGAATCCTCCTTCATTCTTCTAAGTTGTGTTACCAGAGATGGCTTATCAACTTTGACAATCAGCTATGATCATATCTCATCCCATATGGTAGACCTAGAATATTTAAATCTATCAAATTTAGATGTCATTAATGTTCTAACAATATTGAATCATTATCTACGGACTAAAAATATTGTATTGTCCTCCGTGCTCACAACATTGCACTCAACAACTCCAGCCAAGCTTGGGAGCACTCATTTTCACATGTTTCCCTTCGCCGAGCTCATGAAACCATCCTTGCATGTGGCTCTAGCTACGCTCTAGCTACGTATTGTGTGCAATCACCAACTTCTTCCTAGCCCAAAGAATGTATAGTTCCTTGTGCAGCTTTCTCAACTCTTTTGACTAAACAACCGCCTTCTCTAGGCCAGTGCCACATGGCGATGGCTTCCCTCTTTTGCAGAATTCCTGCTCTGATAAAAATGTCTTGCTCACTTCCTCCAACTTCTAGAGTTTTATGTCATCTTCTTCATTTTATTCTAGACCTTTAAGAAGAGCTTTCATTCTTCCTTTTACCTTTATTGCTATGCTCATTATCTTCCTTCATCATTGGTTGATGTTTTGTCTGATATATTCCAATTTTCAACCTAGACCCACCTCCCTTCACCACCAATTTTTCAAAAAGATGAACCCCATTTTAGGTCGCCTCAACCAACCCCAGTAGAACTTCCTACCACCAACTAGCCATTTTGCAAATATTGTTGTCGGGCTAAATAAGAATATTATTTTTATTTTCAAACAATCATTTCTACCTATATTTTAATAGAGATACAATCTCATACCCTCATAAGCTTCCTTCCATATGCCAGAGCAACACTACCCTTCTCTTCACAGATGAGAAGACCATGCTAAACCACTTTGTATTTCTACTATAGATAAACTCTGATTCGTCGTGCTACAAAATGGAGATTAATCATATCTTTTTACTCTGATTTAATTAGGTTGGTGACAATTTTGTTAAGCTCATAGACCTCAAACATATGATCATTAAACTATCCTCAGAAGCTGACCATACTGTTGACCTCATTTTTTAGGTCATTTCTTTTTTCTTAGAGTCTTAGGATTTAGCTCTAGGAGTTCCTATTGACCATCTTAAAAAACTAGAATTGGGACCCACCCTTTTAGAAATTCTAACCACTTCCTATTTTTCTTTGATGTCTAACATTTATGGCACAAGACCATCGTCTTATGATCGAGCGGTTATGGACTATTTTGTGAAGACTCAAGGGAAAAGTTCATTAAAGGACTTCAAGCCTTATGAAAACATCATCACGATTTTTTTCGTCACATACACACATCAAATGCACAAAATTCACAAAATTGCACGAGATCAGTCTTCAATTGAACCTAAAAGATGGGTGAAAATGTGAACTTCTCCAGATGACCTCCGACGACAAATTGAACTGCGTCAACGCGTCCGGGACATCAATTTTGGTAGGAAATGATACCTATATTGCCATATTTCTAGCACAAGCAAAAATGTTACGCAAATTGATGAATTCGCCAAAATGACCTCCGACGGCGAAACGGACAGCGCTAGCGTGTCCGAAACGTCAAAATTATCTAAAATAGACACCAATTTTGTTATGTTATGCCGCACGAATAAAAAAAGACGGATTAAATTTTATTTTTCAAAATATTTGGTATTTTTATAATTATATCACTAATTATAAGTTAATTTAAACCCTAAATCCTATTTTCCTCTCACCCGCACACTTAACTCTCCATTTTTGGCTCGTCTCGCGATTCAATCGAAGCTTGGCTCGCCCCCCTCATGCCCTAGCTTCCGCACGCTTCTCCTCACCTGTGATCGGTCGCACCCGAGCCCGAGATCAGGGCAATGGCCGCCGAGTCCGCCTCATCTCCTGCATCTCTTCCCTCACACGCGGCATTCCACTGCCATTCGCGCACGCGGCTCGCCTCCTCCCCTCCGCGATGTGTCCGCGACCGAGTAGTCCTCCAACTGCGAAGTTCCACCCGGCTGGCTCTTCCTCTGCCCTAGGCCGCATTTCCTCCGCTCTAAATGCATTTCTCCTCTTCCTTTACCTGATTCGGCTATCAAGGAGGCTAGTAGGTGACTT